CCTGCAGGGGCTGGCGCAGCGGCGAAGTAGGTTAATCCTCTGCCTGCAGCGCCAGCATCCCATGTGGACGCTGGTTCTGGTCCTGGCTGCTCCACTTCCAGTCCAGATTTCTGCTATGGCCTGAGAAAGCAGTGGAAGATGGCCCAAGTCCTTGGGCCCCTGCACCCACATGGGAGACCCAGAAGAAGCTCCTGGCTCCTGGCTTCAGATCGGCACAGCTCCGGCCATTGCAGCCATTTGGGGAGTGAACCAACAGAAGGAAGACCTCTCTCTCTGTCTCTCCCTCTCACTGTTTGTAACTCTACCTCTCAAATAAAATAAATAAAATCTTAAAAAGGGCGGGGGGGGGGGGCCTGCGGCAGCCACCTCTCGACCCCCTCACAGTTTCCACGTTAGCCAGAACCATTCCCAGGCACGGGTGCAATTCATCCGATCTACAGCAGAGCCCGCCTGAGCAAGAACCAAAGCTTGTTCTAACTCAGAACACACGACAGCCCTTCTCATTTATTGCTGTTATAAAATCCCACCAGAACTCATTATCTTGCTGCCTGCTCGTCTGGCAAACAAACATGGAGATGACTCAACTACAGCTAAGAATCGCACCGAGGAAAACTCAGAAGGCCCAGTCCCCACCTTTGCAGGGGAGAGGGGTCCGTGGGGCTACCTGTGGGCCTCTGCTGCCCTCTAGTGCTCCGCGGAAGACAGCACCTCCCCCACCACTGCCAGGGCGGAGCAGAGCTGAGCAGCAAATGTGCATCTACACAATCACCTGTGAAACAGCGTCCCAAAAAGCCAGCATGCCAATTTCCCCAGACACCCCCAGCGGCAAAGGGCAAGCGAGTGTTCCCAGGGGATCCTGGGGACAATCTCTGCAGCAGGTCCCGGGCCCCCACCGCCTGCCTCCCCAGCACGCACTCTCCCTTCCACAGCCTTGCGCCTTCTGAGGGTCTGTGTGAAAAGCAGAATCCAGGCTCTGCTGTCACAAAATGTGTCCCTAAGCCTTCCAATCGGATACTGACAACACTGGCCCACGCAGGGTCGCGTCACAGGGCAGGCACCTGCACGGAGGGACCCATCTCAACCCAGCTGACTGCCCTGGGGCTCAGCTGTGTCAGCTCACGCGTGGAAGTGGGAAGAGGGACAGGCACCGGGAGATCCTGCTCAAGCTCTGCTGACACACACAGCCAGCTCAGCCGACGGCGTCTCCACTGTGGAGAGACTCCCCAGCTTGAAAGTCAGGTTCTCTTGCCTGACAAGGCCCGAAATTCATTACCTTTATGCATGAGCCACCCAGGATCTGACCTCAGATGGCCTTAGAAACATCCCCCTTGGGGCTGGCACTGTGGAATAGAGGGTAAAAAAGCCACCTGCAGTGCCAGCATCTCATATGGGCACCAGTTCAAGTCCCAGCTGCTGCACTTCCAATCCAGCTCTCTGCTATGGCCTGAGAAAGCAGAAGATGGCCCAAGTCCTTGGGCCCCTGTACCCATGTGGCAGACCCACAGGAGGCTCAGGGCTCCAGATTGGCACAGCTCTAGCTGTGGCAGCCATTTGGGGAGTGAACCAGAGGATGGAAGACCTCTCTCTCTCTCTTTCTGCTTCTCTCTGCCTCTCCTTCTCTGTGTAACTCTGACTTTCAAAGAAGGAAGGAAGGGGGGGAGGAGAGAAGGAGGGGGAGGGGGCAAGGGAGGAAGATCTCCCACAGTTCTCCGCAAACAAAACCACAGCTGCTGGCCACCGACTTGACCTAGTCCCCTCTAAGCCTCACACCTCCGCAGTCTCTGCTGCATCTCTAACCTCCATCAGCACGCACCCCGCCAGCACCGCGTGTAACAGCACCATCAGCACGCACCGCGCTGGGACCACGTGTGTACACAGCACCATCAGCACGCACCCCGCCAGCACCGCATGTGTGTGCAGCACCATCAGCACGCACCGCGCCAGGACCGCGTGTAACAGCACCATCAGCACACACCGCGCCAGGACCGCATGTGTGCGCAGCACAATCAGCACGCACCGCGCTGGGACCACGTGTGTACGCAGCACCATCAGCACGCACCGCGCCAGGACCGCATGTGTGTGCAGCACCATCAGCACGCACCGCGCCAGGACCGCATGTGTGTGCAGCACCATCAGCATGCACCACGCCAGGACCGCATGTGTGTGCACAGCACCATCAGCACGCACCGCGCCAGGACCGAGTGTGTACACAGCACCATCAGCACGCACCCCGCCAGCACCGCGTGTAACAGCACCATCAGCACGCACCGCGCTGGGACCACGTGTGTACGCAGCACCATCAGCACGCAACGCTGACGAGACCGCGTAGGTCGCATCAGGAGCAGCACAGACCGCGCCATGACCATCGTGTGTACGCAGCACCATCAGCACGCAGCGCGCCAGGACTTCATGAGTGCACAGCACCATCAGCACACACCGCGCCAGGACCGCGTGTGTACACAGCACCATCAGCACACACCGCACCAGGACCGCGTGTATACGCAGCACCATCAGCACACACCGCGCCGGGACCGCGTGTATACGCAGCACCATCAGCACGCACCGCGCCGGGACCTCGTGTATACCCAGCACCAGCAGCACACACCGCGCCAGGACCGCGTGTATACGCAGCACCAGCAGCACGCACCACGCCAGGACCACGTGTATACCCAGCACCAGCAGCACGCACAGGGCCGGGAACGCGTGTGTGCGCAGCACACCAGTCTTGGGGACATCAGCCTCGGGGGCAGGGTTCTTACCACCCCTTTAAGTCCACAGCCTGGCGTGGCGCCGAGCCCTTAGTAGGGCTGCAGGAAAGTCAGGCTAACAGAGCGCAGATGCAGGCTCCCGCCCGCCCAGCACCAGCAGAGGTGGCAGAAGCCGTCTCGTTGGGCAGTTTCCAACAGAACGGAAGCTCCTACTTTGAAGGGCCAGGTGCTCGCTTTTCCTACCCAGCTGCACTGGAAACGTCGCCCGGATGACACCACGCACCTGTGACTCTGGCACACCTGATGGCTTCGGTCTGTGTGACTCATTCCGTTAGGCAAGCGTCGTGTGAGGCTTTTGTTGGGTTTGTTCCCACTGGGCATCTTGCCTTCATTGCAGTTTTGTCTCTCCCGTTGGCACTAGGCTGACCGTAGCCACCTCACAATCGCTTCAGCAGCCTTGCCCCAGTCCCTATCCCCAGACACGCACTGGGACGAGGAGGAACAGAGGAGGAACAGAGGCGTGCGGGGCTGCAAGCCTCGCCCAAGCCGAACTCCGGCCGTCTGCCTCTGGAGTCCTTGTGCTCCACTCTGACGCTGAAGCAGCCCCCTCTTACGGCGCCAAGCCATCGGCATCGAAACAGCTGAGATGCAGTTAACTCTGCACTTTTGCTTCCACGCCAGTTCTGGAGTCCCTGCCACCAATCCAGCACCCATCACAGGCGTCTTCCCGTCAGTCACAGGGGTTTCACGTCTCTCCCCTCTCCTCCATCAGAGGCCCCGGCCCGCCTATCGCAGGGCATTCTCATCATCAGCCCCCGTGCCCGGCCCCTGCAGCCTGCCCTGCTCAGGACCCGGCCTGGGCGTGGCTCAGCCAGTGCCGAGCAGGCCCGGGCCTTACTCCTCCCGACCTCTCACGTGTCTGCCACGGATCTGTCCTGCAGCCCGGAGACTTTTCCGTGACAGTGCCACCCTCCGTGGACGCAATCAGTGCTGCTCTCCTCGTCCCCAGGTTCACCTCCCGTGCCCAGCTCCACGGGAATCTGACCACATCAAATCCACTGCTCCTAGAACAGCTCCCAACCCTCACCCGGCCAGGAAACCCCCTGCTCAGACTCACCCCTCCCTGCCCTCCCTCCTCCCCTCCGGCTCCCACGCCCACCCCATCCTCCTGCCTTGTCCCCACTCTCTCTCCACCTGGCCACCTCCAGGGCATCCTCCAGGCCCAGCTCCCAGTGCACGGCCTCAGGGACGGTCCCTGCCCCCATACCTGTGCCTCACTAGGGTAGCTCCCTTCTCCACTTCCTCCTTGGCCCCTGTGCCTTCACTGACCCCACTGGTGACGTGTGCCCCACCCAGGACACCCTCAGCTCAGGAGCACAGGATCTGCCAACGTCCCCCCAGCTCCCAGCACCACAGTCCCCCCACTATCGGCTGCTCAGCCACCGGGACAGCAGTCCCATCCTGATCCTGGGCCCTTAAAGAGGCAGCTTAGACCACTAAAGGTCTAAAATCCTTCCAAGGCTAGCAATTTAGGGAACTTGCTTTATCTTACAGCTAAATACTTTAACAGAGTTTGTTTTATAGAACCTCTATTCAGATTCCAATTGACTAATGTGTGTTGAGTGACACTGTGTGAACAGAGCCATACGGGGCAGTGCTGTGGCATAGCAGGTTAGGCTACCACCTGTGACACCAGTATCCCATACGGATACTACTTTGTGATCTAGCTGCTCCACTTCTAATCCAGTTCCCTCCTTAAGGCCTGAGAAAGCAGCAGAGGATGGCCCAGGTGCTTGGGCCCCTGTACTCATGTGGGAGACCTGGAAGAAGCTCCTGGCTTCAACCTGGCCCTGGCCTGGCCATTGCAGCCATTTGGGGAGTAAACCAACAGATGGAAGACCCCTCTTTTTGTGTCCTTCCCTCTCTACGTAACTCTGCATTTCAAATAAATAAATAGATCAAGAAAGGAAGGAAAGAAAATGAAGAGAAAGAAAGGAGTCCCATAAAGTACTTCGACAAACTTCATGTCAGGGACGCTCAGAAATCCAGACAGGGCTACAAATGGCACAGGCTTCACAAGGTTTCAAACCTGAAAAAGTCACTGGTCTAATCAAAAAAGAATTCTGAATCTTGGAAGTAAAATACCATAAAGAAAACAAAGACGTAAAGCATACCAGTAACCACGTGAATTAGCCAACGGCACGCACCATGCCACTCCGAACCCCAGCCCAGTGGCATCCGCTGAACACCCAGCTCCACGGGACTTCCGCCCTCACGGCGGCCGCCACTCACCTGCCGGAGGTTGATGTAGACTGCGTTCTGCAGGAACTCCGAGGCCTCCATGCTCCGCTTCTGAATGGCAAGGACGCGCACAGCTTTGACACACGCCTCCAGCTCGATCACCCCGGCGTTCTTGTACTGCGGGGTACGAGGGAGACCTTCGGTCAGTAAGGGGAGCAAAGCAGCTTCCGTCCCATCAGCACGGCTGTGTCCTCCGCCCCACACAGGGTTTCCGACAGCCAGCCCCACCAAAGGGCTGAGAGTTGGGTTTTGAGAAAGTCTACCCACTCTGGGGACAAAGGAGTTGGCAGGACCGTGTGAGCCCGGGACTGCGTGCTGAAACGACACCACATCTCAAAACACTGCCAGTGGTCACTGGGCTATCGCTGCCACCCATCGCCTCTTGGACTCGGAAATTCATCAAGATCTCACACCCGGAGCTCCAACACAGCCAGTGCGCGTTCAGAGAGGCTGGCTGCCTGCATGCGTGTTCTCTCTCCGATCGTTCCATCTCGGAGGCACTTGTTCCTGCTTCCTGGGTGCTGTGCCAGTTCCTGAGACAGGCGCTGGGCACAGCAGGTAGGTCCTCATTTGGGATGCCCGCATCTCCTAGGAAATCCTCTCTGTTCTGATTCCAGCTTCCTGCTAATGCACACCCCGGGAGGCAGCAGGTGATGGCTCAAGTACTTGGGTCCTTGACACCCACACGGGAGACCCACAGCCAGGCCCAGCCCTGGCTGTTGCAGGCATTTGGGGAGTGAACCAGTGGATAAAAGATCTCTCCCTGTCCCTCCCTCAATCTCTCTGCCTCTCAAATCAAATGAAAATAAATAAATAAAAATTTAGGAAAGCAGCACACTTGAAATGTAAAGGGCTTTGTGGAACTCCATTTAACTACTCAATGAACTACATTATCTCTCAAAACCCACTCCTGGGGTCAAGGAGTGTTTCCTCCCTCGTTATTCCAGCTGGGATGATGTTTAGTTGATGCAACTGAAAAAAAATTGAAGAAAAGGTTCACAGAGATTTAAAACGTGAACCAGTGGGTTCCAAGATGGCGGAGTAGCAACAGGGTGGCCTGCTCTAGGCTTAAGTGAAATTCAGAGAAGTGGAGAAAGAGCAGTCTCGGGCAAAGCTGCAGGGAACTGCCGTGCGGGGTCCTGCGAAACAGCGGGCAGGGCCTGACCTGTGTGGGAGGTGCAGACACCCAGCAACGAGCAAGAAAGCATCAGAGGACCCAGCGGCTTGGAACCAAAAAAGCACCTGCCCTGGCAAGGTGAGGTCAGACTGCACGGGCTCAGCCGCGGCTGGAGGCAGAGCCTAGCGGACTGCACCGTTTCTAAGTCCAGCCCGGATCTCTCAGGGCAGCGGAGCGACTGATCACCCAGGGTCGGGGTGGGGGAGGTGGCGGAGTGGCACATCTCTCTCCCCTTCTCCCCCCACAACAGCAATCTGCGGCCAGCTGCGGGAGGGCTGGAGCCGTTTCTGGACACAAGCGGTTAGCAGCTGCGCCAGCTCTCACACATGCACCCAGCAACCATCGGGGACACTCTCCACCCAGTCAGCAGGGCAACCACAGCAGATCAAGAGCAACTGACGAGGACGGTCTCCACCCCACCAGCTGCACCCACCTGGCAGCGGGTGGGGAGGGGCAGCCCTCCCTGCGGAAGGAGCACCGCCCAGCTCAAGTGTGACGCGACCGGGGCTGCGCCTGGTGGATACTGTCTGTGCCTGCCATGAAGAGACTGTACCAGACGGAAAAACCCACACTCCCCACCAACCCTGAGTCCGGCTGGGAGGATCGGGCTCGAGCCAGAGGGGCGGGACACACACGGCAGTGGTCTCCCTATGGACAGGACAGGCTAGCGGGGCGGAGTGGTCCCTCTTGCACTCCTTGACTGTGAGAGCCCTGGGTGCCGAGACTGGCTGTGTGAGAGGAGACAGGCTATAGCTGAGTTCTGGGCATCACAGAGGGCTGCTGCACACTCTCAGAGCTCCCTGGTTGCCTAGAGCAGCTCACAGCACAGGGAACCACACTCACAGGGAGGACTGTGCAGATCATATGTGCAGTTCAAATGGCTATGCGGATGAGTGCTGAACACACTGGAGTAACACCTAGGCATTCCTCAGCTCGGAGGACAGGAGGTGAGGGGGTGGTCACTCCAACAGAGGTGACCATTCCTCTCCACTCTGTTAACCACAGGAGAGCTATTACGCTCAACTTGGGTGTTACCCTGGATACTCGCCCCACCCTGGAGCACTGACCAGAGCTCCCTGGCCATACCCACCACACACCTCTTGGTATTCACTGAAAGTCCAGACATTCCATTAAGCCACAGAGGCATAGCTCAAAGATAAAAGCCATTAGAGGAAAAAAAAATTATACAAATACCAAAAAATAAATGCAGAAATCTGAGAAACAAAAATAAGGGAGACACCATGACCCCCGCTCCCAAAAGAACACAAGAACACTTCAATATTAGAATATGAAGATGAGGAGACTGAGGAAATGCTGGAAACAGGATGTGAAAAATTAGTCCTGGGATTACTCACAAGCAATCAGAAGCAAATCCACTAACTAAAGAAAACTATACACGAATGAAAATTTCTCCCACGAAATTGAGATTTTAAAAAGAAATCAAAATGAAATATTAGAAATGAAGAATTCAGTAGATCAAATAAAAAATGCAGTGGAAAGCTTAACAACAGACTTGGTGAGGCAGAAAAAATAATAACCAAGCTAGAAGACAAATCTCTGAAAATCAGTCAGAACAAAAAAAAAAAACCAGGAAGAAATCAGAAAACTTAAAAACAGTGTTGGACTATCAAACCACCCAACATATGGGTCCTTAGGAGTTCCTGCAGGTGGAAAGAGAGAAGGAACTTGATGGCCTATTTAGAGAAACAATTACAGACAATCTAATTTAGAGAAAGAAAGGGACATCCAAGTACAGGAAGCACACAGAACGGCTAATAGACATGACCAGAAAAGATCTTCACCATGACCCATTGTAGTCAAACTCTCCAGGTTAAAACAAAGAAAAGATTCTAAAATGTGCATGAGAGAAATGCCATATTACTTTCAGAGAATCTCCAATTAGACCCACAAACTTCTGGCCAGACTCACTGACTCCCCATCAGAAATCCTTCAGGCTAGGAGAGAACAGAGAGACACAGTCCAAGTCTTAGGAGAATAAAAACTGTCAATCCAGAATACTGTGCCCTACAAAGCTCTCATTTATGAATGAAGGTGAAATAAAGACCTTCCACAACAAACATAAATCGAAAGAATTTATCACCACTCATCCAGCTTTACAAAAGATGCTAAAGGATGTGCTACATACAGAAATACAGAAAGAAAGCCATCATTGTGAAAGGATGTGAAGGCAGAAAATCTCCCAGTAAAAGTGCAAAAGAAATCCAAAGTAAACGATCAGAATATTCATGGGAAAATGGCAGGGCCAAGTAGTTACTTATCAATAGTTACCCTGAACGTAAATGACCTCAACTCGCCAGTTAAAAGATACAGATTGGGGGCCGGCAATGTGGTGTAGTGGGTAAAGCCACCGCCTGCAGTGCCGGCATCCCATATGGGTGCTGGGTCAAGTCCCAGCTGCTCCACTTCCAATCCAGCTCTCTGCTGTGGCCTGGGAAAGCAGCAGAAGATGATCCAAGTCCTTGGGCCCCTGCACCCATGTGGAAGAAGCTTCTGGCTTCAGATTGGCTCAGCTCCAGCTGTTACAGCCATCTGAGGAGTAAACCAGTAGATGGAAGGCCTCTCCCCCCTCCCCCTCTGCCTCTCTGTAGCTCTGTCTTTCAAATAAATAAGTAAATCTTTAAAAAGATACAGACTGGCAAAATGGATTAAAAACAAGACCTATCCATTAGCTGCCTACAAGAAACACACATCACCAACAAAGACACACGTAGACTGAAAGTGAAAGGACAGAAAAAGATATTCCATGCTAATGAAAAGCAAAAAAGAGCAGTTGTAGCCATCCTAATATCAGACAAAACAGTCTTTAAGACAAAAACTGTTAAGAGACAGAATAGTGAGGGAGCTAACCGCTCTAGTCTAGAGGAAGGTGGTTTTCAGAAGTAGAAGGACTACCGCCTAAGGGAAGATCAGGAGGAAAATGGCAGAGGAACTCCACGCAAACTGTAGGGACGTTGTAGACCTGCATGGAGGGTGTGGATGTGCACAACTCAACACCCCAGCAGCCAAGCCTCAGCGCCAGCTTTGGAGAGTGATGAGACCAGACCGCAGCCCAAGCCACTAGAGATAGAGCTGCAGGAAGAACCTGGCAGGAGTCCAGCCCTGTGGGGACAGTGTACCTGCCAACCTAGAGGTGAAAAAAAGGGGCACATTGCTCTCTCTGAGACCACCCTGTCCTGGCATCCTGTAACAAATGGAAAGAGGACAGACACCACTTTTTTTTTTTTTTTTTACCATTTTGGATATATTTAACAGCTGTGCCAACTCATGTCTACACGCCCAGCAACCAGCCAAGAAGAGACACCTGAGTCTGGCTGGGAGAACTGATAGGGGACTGGGTGCTCCTGACTGTGGGAGCCTTGTGTGCCAGGACTGTGAGAACACTGGCTGCGTGGGAGGGTGCAGGGTGTGGCTGGGTCTGTGTGCACTCACTGTGGTGGCTCCACATGCTCAGGGCTCCCTGATTCCCTGGTGAGGATCATTGCTCCAGGATCTGCGTTCACACCAAGGACTGCATGGATCCTTTGTGTGGTTCTTGAAGCAGCATGGATGAATACTGTTCTCACTAGGGCTAGCACCCAGGTAGTACTCTCACAGAGCAGAACAAACATCCCCTCCCATTAAAAAAAAAAAAAAAAAAAAAAAAAAAAAAAACCACAGATTTACCAAGCCGAACCTGAGTTTTACCTTGGACACTCCCTTTACCCTGGAGCACTGAACACTGAACAGAGTCACTGGTCACACCCACCACAAACCTCTGGGTATTCACTGAAAAAGCAGACACCCCACTAAGCCACAGAGGCATAGTCCAAAGATAAAAAACATCACATGAAAAGAAAAAAAAAAGAAAACAAAAAAGAAGCCAACAAGTATCTCCACAAATGCCTAATAATACACACAGCAATGCAAGAAACAAGAATAA